CTTGTTATCAAAAAAATAAAAAATTAAGATTTGCTTAGATATATAATGAGGGATGAAATGAAAATGAATGGAATACGGTAGAATGGAATGAGATGCCATATATTTTATTGGATATTTTATGATGTCATAGAACATTGCTATAGCCTATATCCCCAAGTAAGACTTTTGTAAAAACTGAATCACACGTCTCGTAATTAACTATAATTATGCATTTAAATTGAGCAAAGTCTGGAAGCAAATCAAAATAGTAAACCAATTTAAAACTGACTGAATTTTTGTAACTATATTTATTTGTTTCAATTTTCAATAACAACTATTATCTTAATTACACCTTTGAATTATTCTCTTTTTACTAGTATATTAAAATAAAGTTAATTGATTCAAAAAAATAAAAAATAAAGTTAATTTAAAATTAATAGTTATCCTTATTAGTCACGTTATACATAGTATTCAATATGTTAGTTCATAAAAACATACTAACTCTTACATTGGTACATACATTAAATTTTGTGACCATATATTAAGACATTAATTGATTAAAACTGTAAGTTGACTCAATTAATAATGTTTTTTTATGCATGGTCGATTACAAAGACGTGGAATTAAATTTTCGTTTGTACTGATTTCATATACAAGTGTATGGGTAAAAAGTATTTACCAATTAAAAGTTAAAGATTTCCGAAATGAACTATTTATAAAAATAATTAAGATATTAATCAAGTAATATTAATTAAGCAACATGATCAATCCCAAAGAATTTCAAGTCTCCCGTAACATATCTCGACACTTCCAAATACGATATTATTGTCTGCTTAAAAATATAATCTCACAATCCAACGAATTCACTAAAAAGAGGTGTTCTCAAATAATTAATAATCGAAGATGTACCTCTTCTCATTTCACCTCCCCTACATAGCTCCAACTCTCCAAGTAAATAACAGTGCTTTTCTATTCTTTAATAATTGGCATGCGGACAATTTTTTCTTTATTTTTAAGTGTTCCTTAGCATATACTTTTTGTTGTTTTTTCTTTATTTCAACAATTGCCAATCGATAATTTCGTTTATTTTATTTTATTTTCTGAAAAAGGTTAGCGTCATGATCGATGATGTACATTATAGACCGATATTGATATATGGACGCATATGGCATGATCAAGATGCAAACTTTTTCCTTTTGCCTTATTTAATTGGTTTTGTTTTTTCCTCTTATTAATTTTCTGTACAATTCATTGGTACTTTTCATTCATTTGAATTCATGCATTAACGCGGCTATGATGGATATTTTTCAACTTGGAATTTTGAAATTCTTTCAAATTGATTTCTTGTAATTAGGACAGACGTGGGATGTAAATAAATATCCCTGCACGCATGTCATTTTCTGTTGTACTTTTCCCCATTTTTACCCAATAATAAACCAAACCAATTTCTGTTTCTAGAATGGCCAAAAGTTGTAACGCTCGATTCCAAACTATCTAGCTAGTTGAAGATTTAAGTTTTCGTGGTAGCATAATAAATTAAGGAAAAGTAGGAATAATTATTGTTCTTTTATTTCATTTATGGGCTTTATACTTCTAATGCTAAATGAGATGATTTTTTTTATGCAATATAGATAAAAAGTATGTGGGATCCAATATGTTAGAAAAAATCATGTGTGACCCATATGTTAAAAAAAGTCATGTTTGAGACTCATGTCAGCACAAAAATCAAAGGGTGTGTAAAATTTTTTCCCTTTACATCGTAAGTATAAAACCTTTCATTTATTGTATACACGTGAGAAGCATGGAAGGAACAAAACATTATGGTCAAAGGGCAGTTTCTCGTATAATAACAAAATTTCAGAATCAAAGGTGAGGTAACGCGCACATGACAACGTCACATGCTGGGACAACGGCATTTTTGCCACGTTATTGGCAAAAAATTCGGACTGCCACGTTGCAAAAAATATTTTCCAGAATACCATGTCACCTAACTCGCTACAACACCTAGCGAGTTAGGTCTGAACACATGGAAGCCAGTTTGAGACCCACTGGACTCACTAGACAATCCAGCACTTTTACGTACCCAGTCAACATGTCAGACTGCCCAGTCTGAGATTGTGTTTGTTTGTATGTTTGATTTTTTGGTACAACTTGTTGTTGAGTTGTTTGTTGGGCTCTTGTTGACTATAATTGTTTTTTGGTACAACTTTATTGTTTGTTGGGCTTCAAAATCGGTCCCATGGATTTTACTCCTCTCACTAAGGAGATTTTCCATGTTAATCAATTGCTTTATGTTGCTTTGTGCTTAGTTCTTGCATAGTTATTATTGAAACATTTATTTTTGCTTGTGGTAAACCATTCTCAATAAGTCCTGGAAAGAGAAATTAGTGTTGATTTTACTACACATACAACATCGGGGACAATATTCTTGGAGTTGTCAAATATCATTGAGATTTTATTCATCGAATGTTGTCATGTTACTCGCGAATCTTTGGAATCAAAACAGAGAAACAACAAAGTGGCATGTTCTATTTTTCTTTAAGGAAGATTTTGTTACTCTTGCGCGGATGATTTTAGATATTGAATAATCTTTTGTGGCTATTCTTAATATAAACATGTATCAAGTAGACACTATAGATGAATAACCAAAATGCTAAAAAGTTTGTTGTTGCGATTTCGGCAAGTGCACCGGTCGTAAAAGTAATACAGTGTACTAAGTACGAGATTATTCCCACGAGGATTAGAATTTGAAGCACTAATTCGCTATTTACGCTTAAGTTGAACAACCGATTAAGATAATTGAATAAGATTAAATTCAGAATTGAAAATTAAACTAAAAGTAACAAGCAAGAATTAAAATTCAAGTTACTTGACAATCAAGAAACGTAGTTAGAGTTTCGATTTTCCCCAATCTTCCCTTTATGTACTGAATTAAAACCTTAATTAATCGCCCATTTTATTTTTCCTATTAATTCTCCTAAATTAGTTAAAACTCAATTCCTTGGCATTCTAACTCTTTACTCCCTTAAGAAAATTCTAATTCCTTTGTGTCTCTTTAAAGGATTTAAGCATTAATACCAAGAATCATAAAAATGGCATAATTCACATGTCTATTCTTAGAGTCATACAAATTAATAATGAATGAGTCAAACCAAATTCATATATCAAAATCCCTATTGTCATATATGAATCATAATTCAATCTACAAGAACAATTCATAGAAGTCATTAATCAAAGACACATTCGTTCAATATAAAAAGAGAAAATTACATTAAAGATTAATTCAAAAACATAAAGATCCAATTACGTTCCATCTAGCCCTAAATATAAAGAAAATCTAGCCTAACATGGTGGAATCAAGAACACAATAAAAAAGAAAGCTTTTCCAAACTCCATTGATGTGATGGCGCGATGAATCTTCAAGATTTTTAGCGTAATTCCGACTTTAACCCGTCTCCGGCTCAAAAGCATGAAAGACTTACTTCTCCGATGAAAACTACGCTTCTGGTGTCAAGTTCTATCAAAGACTCGTGATCAATAGCTTAAATAGGTATATGAATTATTGTTTTAGGTGAAAACCACGTAACGGGCCTTAATTGGGCGTTAAACGAGCTGGAGCGCGCTAAAACGCTCTATTTTGACAAAAAAAACATGGTTTTGTATTTTGGCCATAACTTGATCTATATTCGTCCAATTTATATAATATTGGTCTCGTTTGAAAGATAAAAGAGAGATCTACAAATTCTATGTAGAAAAAAAAATCTAAATCCATCATTTTGGATATAAAAAAATTGGCCGAAAGATAACTTTTGGGAGATTTTCACTAAATGATTGCTCTTCATTTATCGCTTCAAGTCCTTCAAGCTTAACCATTACATCAATGCTCCAATTCAACTCAATTGTCCTATAAAACAAGAAAAAATTATTCTCATAAGTCAATGATTCAAACTCTATGCTTTTTAGCTAAATTACTCTAAATTTTTATGCTTTTGACTAGATACAAGAGTGATTTTAGTCCTTAAAAATATGATAAACTTTGGATTTATCATTTGTTCATTTGAAACTTAATCCAAACGGGTTTATTATGACACCAAAAAGCACGAAAAATTAAAACCACTACAAAACATTCATATAATTTTTTTAAAGACAATTTCTAATCACCAAAAGCAATTATAAGAATTTCTTTTTTTCTAAAGTACATATACATATACAACAAATTAATGTACATAATTGAGTCAAAAGCATAAATAATTATCAAGAAATCATTCAATAATAATAAAAATGTCACTGTCCTTAAAATGACACATTGGTATTTGTTTTAGATGGGTCACATAGACTCAATTCATTAGGACGGCCACGGTAATCTATATAAGGTGTTGCACTGCTGCATTTTTAAAGTGAGAATTGTAGACTTTCGTCGTGGAGAATCTCACACTCCCTTGCACAGCACACTTTATACACCATGTGAGTGTGTGTGAGGTGTTCTTGTCTCACACCTAATGTGATCCATAGTGGCAAAATGGTTAAGGCTTGTTCTCTCACATATAATGGAGGCATTGAAATTTGAACTCATTACCTCGTACAAATTATCCAAACCGAATAATTCTTGTGACTCTACTTTGAGTTTAGCTTCATATATTTGTCTCATTTATCACTATTACATTGATTATATATACACCCTATGTGTGAACGTGCTGGACTTGGTAGTAAAAAAAAAAAACACTTTTGTTGATGAAATGTAAAATTAGATAAAAATAACACTTAAAAAAATAAAAATAATATGGAAGGGGAATTTCAATTTTTTCATTTACCATTATTCAACCAAGAATGCAACAACCACAGGATGTGTGTATATAAATATGACATATATAGTCGCGTGTGCTTGCCCTCACCTATACACGATTGAGATAGAGACCCTTCCATCTGAACTGCCCCACAAGCAAGCGGTGCATAACTTGGGTAGTGTCCAACTTAGCCATCGTCAAAACGAAGGGGGGAAAGAGAGCAAGTTGTTGCAGGAGAAAAATGTGGTTCGTGTACGTGTATGACGAGGAAAAGAAGGAATTGGGGAGGCAACAAGCCCCTGGTTCGTGCCCTTACTGTGGAGGGAAAGTTGAATTCATGGATGTTGAGATCCAATCAAGGCTTTGCTTCTTGCCTATGTGCTTCAACATCAAGAGGAAGTACTTTTGTACTCTCTGTGCTAGGCGTTTAGAATTGTATCCCTAGACACATGGGAATTTCCCTCTTCATCTCCATCTCTTCCTCTCTATATACATGTGTGCTCTTCTTCCCTTGTTGGGTTCCTTAATTGGGTGAAGTATTTAATTAGATGAAAACAAGACCTTCATATGTAAATGAAAATCAAAGTGGTCTTAATTTCATTTTTCTCTTTTTTTATATATATAATATAATATTTGATAAGAGATTTGTATGGTAATTGAGATGCTTTGTCATAATAGGTCAATGATTTAATTGGAGATGAAAGGCACTGGAATTTTTTTTTCTTTCTTTCTCTTTTCCTTATTTGTTGCGCCAGTTTGAAGCTAAAGCTTCAATCTTTTTAAGTTTTTTTATCTTTCCCCCAACTTTGGATATCACTTGACCTATACATGCATATCTATTAGATTAATGATGGAGTATTTTTTTTCTTTTTCTTTTCTTTTCTTTTTTTTGCTTATAATTCTCTTCTTCTTTGCTTTTCTGCTTTGCCGTTTTGTCTAAAGCTGAATTATAGTTCAGCTTATAACCGAAACTGTAGGACAGCAAATCCGGAGAGACTTCAACTGAATCTAAAGTGTTGATGGCTTAACAACCATAGTGCATTAGTGCCTCCCTGTTCTTCCTTTCTTTCTTTCTTTTTTTCATTTTCCCCTCCCTTACTTTGTTCCCGTTTTATTTTTTTCTCTGTCGTTTTTGTTTTCCTGTTTTTGATATACATATCCTTATGACTACTGACTACTGGCATAATCGTACATTACAGATTCAATCCTAATTGTCCCTTTTGATTCTTAATACAGCCTTTTGGAGAACAGATAGGGGTTCGGAACTATGATTCTTAAATAATTAATAAATAATAAAATGGTTTTATAATTCTCATTTAACATGAGAATTTGAATTTTCTTACACACCCTTCAATTTCCGTACCAACGTGGGTTCTACACATAATTTTTTCTTACACATGAGTCCCACATGCTTTTTGTCTCTACAACATGAGAATTCAATTCTCATGTTGAATGAGAAATATAAAACCCATAATAAAATAGTCTTAATTATATATATATATATATATATATATATATATATATATATATATATATGAGTCACATTTAATATTTACTTTGCAATTAATTTATAAAAATCAGTTTTTCTTATTTTAAGTTTCATTCATAAAAATACTTGTATTTTAAAATAATTAAAGGATAATATATTAAAACTTTAAAAAAATAATACAAGTTGTTGACATTACAATTAAAGTGCAAGAAACAAGAGCTCCTCAGTCCTAATATAGAATTAATTTGTCAAAAAATAATTGCTCCATGAAATGAGTTATCAACATAAATATACAGTCAACAGAGATAAAGTCACAAAACTTTTGTTGCCTGATAAAAATAAAAATAAAAATTTCGTATAATATATAGATAAATAGATCAAACACAAAAAGTCATAACCAATTATTTTAGAGTGTGTGGTTTGTTCAATGATATATCAGTAATTTTATTCTGCTTAAACATTATTGTGCTTGTCCCCTTTAACGGTAACTCTATCCATGTAAGTAAGTCGTGGCCAAATTAATAAATTAGAATGAGTAGAAATTTAATAAGTACTTAGGATTTAGGAATGATAATCAAAGTAATAATAATAAATCTGATAGCCATTGAATCTGGGATTCAATCTGACGGAGTTGTTGGACGGTACTTGAATATTCAATCTTTAATGGTAGTTCCCAATTTCTTACCGTCCAAAACCTACAAGCACCCTTGTAGTGTCCCCACGTTAAACTAATAAAACTAGTGTTTGCATTAAATTATTCTGGTCTGATTGCAGATTTGCAGGGACCACAACCAAGGAAATTTAATAAGGTTATATACTATGGGCGTTTGTTTTCGATGATAACTTATTTTCCTGCAGACACATAAATTTCAAAAAAAGCAAACCAAAAAAAATGGCACAAATTTCGATTTATAAGTAGGAATGAAAATTTCTTTTTCTACAACAGTAGATAATGTTTTCCCATATACTATACTACTCTTATAAAAGCACGTAAGGCTATATACGAACAGTACAAATAACCATACATAATGAATATTATTTAGACGAAGTGGTGGTGGGGATTGAGGTCAATACATTTCGATACGAATTTAACACGATATGAATCCATTAAATTCGAAAACAATATCAATTTGAAATTGGGTTATAATCTTCGATACAAACACGATACGATTATTTTACGGATTGACACGATACAATACGAATAACTCATAAACTCATAATATATCGCTTATTATGCAGATTGACATGATACAATATGAATAATTTGTCAAATCTCAAATTATGTTACTTATTATGCGGGTCAACATGACACGAAAATATACGAATAATCTATTTATGACACGATACGAATTACTTGTACGAAAATTAAAATGGCCCAATTTCGAATTTGCAGGTTAACACACGACATGATACAATTTTTTTTGAGTCAATTTTTGTCAATCTAACCACAACACAAATTTAAAAACGAATCGACCCGAACATACATTTTTCAAGTTAGATTTATGTCGTGTCAGCGGATCGTGTCGAAAATTACCACCCAAATAGGAAGGAGGAGGTGGAGGATCACATATAAAAAAGACAGATGGGAACGGGAACGGGTTGTTTGCCATATAATCATCTTTGTCTTCTCTTCAACTCTATGTAATCAATATTCTTGTTTTTTATAACGTTACCTTTTTTTTTTTTTTTGGGTACATTACATATATCTCTATGGAATATTTTAATGCTTTATGAAAGTAGAATGAGTATGAAGTTTCTTCTTGATTGATGCTAATATTCTAGGCTTCAAAATCTGATTTGAATAATGGTGACTCCATAACCCATATCAACAAAAAATCACACTCCATAATGGAGACCATTTCCGGTGTAACAAGAGTAGATATTTCTTGGCAAAATGTGATTTGAAAAAAAAAAAATAGCCATAAAAAATGGAGGTAATATAAATATATTACTTTTTTCATATTTGATAAAAAAAAATGTATAAAATGTCTCATACATCCGTATTACTCAAAATATTTTCTCCATAATAATGCTATTCAGGGGCAAAACTTGTAATGGCTCGGGGTTTGGACTTTTGTTTATGTTTGGGTTGTTCACGGGTGGGTTGCTGTATGATTGAAGCGAGTGCGTTTCAGAGTGCGTTTATGAAAAGGCTCTCAGAAACTGAACCAAACAGGTGTCTAACACATGCATCAACTGTACTCAGGCCGGTGACAGCTGACTAGTCATCACTTTACCTTATTTGGCATGCATGCCTCTGCGTTATGCATTCCAAATCAGCATGTTCCGTTGCCATCGCCACCATCGTACAAAGAAAATTGAAAAATTCGCAATCTTTGGTCGGTCCTCGATCTAATTCTCTAAGTAAGAAATAAAAGGACATTCATAACAATTGTACTGCGATGATAAACTCCTAAGATTTTAAGAAAAATAAGTTTCTTTGACATGTATAGCTTTGATGATTAGGCGTTATGTTTGGCATCTGTCATCTTTGGTAAAGCAACTACACAGGAATTGGTTTGGCTGTTGTAAGATACTACTCGGGGCCTTGTGGCTACTATTTACGGTTATAGAAACAACACACTTTATATTTTGGTTTAGCTTTGCCCATTGTTTTTCCGTTTAGGTTCAGATGTCATGGAATAAAATGTGACAGTCATGGAAAATGATCCCATAGCATATTCAGAAATATTTTTCTTGATGATGTCCTGGTTGGTTTCATAATTTATTGAATTGAGTTGAAGAAATATAGAAGGAAGTACATATAAATTTCATGTCTTAAAATTTTAGGGTGAGATGCAACGTCTATATTAGAATTTTCAAGTATGAAACCTCACTTGGTTGATAATGAATTAAGTGAAATTCATATAACTAAGAGGATGAACCCAACATCTTAATAAGATTTTGGGTTAAAATATACTATCAACTAACTCACTTAATATAGTTGGTCTAATTTAACTTATTTGATTCGCAAGGGTAAATTTCCCCAACATAATTTTCTTGGGGCTGTTTATCTTACACTGTGTTTAGACAACACTTTACTACAATTGAATACGCCGAGACGATACGGCGAAAAGGATCAGAGATAGTGAAACACAAATAAAAGTCCAGAAAATATATCGTAGGTTAATTCGCCTAAATATTTTGTATAAATGATTAAAATTATTATGTTCCGTCTGCGTTTACGATTTTAAATTCCTAACATGCATAGTTTATGCGCGAATAATATATATATATATATATATATATATGAAAAAAAATTCTCCAACAACTTGAGATAAGTTTATCTCCAGTCATCCAAACACTACGTCGTTTTGTTTATTTATTTTTTTATATTAATTGATTCATATATATATATATATATATATATATATATATATATATATATAACTATAAGCCCATAACATCCTTATTTTGAAACTTACTTTAATTGTGAAGACTAAAATAAATCAGGATCAAATCCTTATTCGCACTTCAAAGTCAATGCATTCTGGCAAGTGGGATACATTCTGCGTACGAAAGTCTCCGTGGACCAAACCTGAAATATTGTAGAACACAATTTTCTTTTTCTTTTTTAAAGAAAAATTATGACTAATTAAGTATAAGTCGATGGCTATTGAAGTATTCAATGGTTAAAGAATAATGTTCCGTATTTTTTATTTTATTTTTTGGAAAAAAAAAATCTGATGTTATAGAAAATTTCTAATTACATAAACTGGAGCCCACCTATTTAAAAAAAATAAAAAAAAGAGGACACGTCTTTTTATAATATTTATAAGAAATGTTTGTTTTCTCTTAATACATAAGAAAAACAAACTCTAATTTTTTTTTAGAAAAAGTATTTTTTCAGTCACCAAAAATAAAGTTATTTTCAATGAGCTCAAAATTATGTTGTTTTGGATTATAAGATTAAAAAATTATAATGATAAAAATTAATATAACTCATGCAATATATT